CCTCGTCTCCTCACCGGAACAGGGTGGGGCTTCCTCCCGAGTTAATGATCCCCCAGGAGCTCTTCCTGCTCTCACTTCGAACGGCCTTTTTAGTCTTAAGTTAGCAAAGAAAATGTAAGTTAACATTTGTAAGTAAAGGGTAGCTTTTCTAAACGTAAGTGATAGCAAACTTCACAAGCATCTTTGCCATCTTTTTATAAACTGTATTGCTTTAAAAATCTCACTGTCTCCATTTGCATGTCTCTGACTTTGAGTGAAACTGAAATGAATAGTTCAGTAAGGAAATGAGAGGCAGTTCCCAGGAGAACAATGCGGAGGGCTGGTGACCACATGGTTGTTCAACCTCCTGTCACAAGAAAATGACAAATTAATACATCATGAGATGCACAATAACATTTCACCCATAAGGTAAGGGAGAATAAAAAGTATTGACAGTTCTGAGTCCTGGTGAGGAAGGACACATGGAAATAAATACTCTTAGGTCCTTTTGGTAACAGAATAACTTTCTCAAAGGGAATTTGGTAGCACTCATTAAAATTGAAAGTGGCAATGCTCTCTCTTTATTTTATTTTATTTTATTTTGTTACGAAGTATACAAGTTTACTGGGTAAAATCCATAGCACAGGTAGTCACCCACTGGCATCTACATTTATGGTTTGTTTCCTTAGTCCATTCACCTCTTCTTCTGCTAATGGGATCCCAATTTTCTACGGGGTATTTACCCTCTCAGCCATCCCAGGGATGCTGAGCTAAACTCCAGCTCCAGAGATGAGCGCAGATTGGTTGAAGCCAATCCTATGTTCCTGTCTACGTTGATGGTTCTGAGTGGGGCACAGTTTCATCTAGGCATCAGGAACAAAACCAGGACCGTAGGAACAATAAGAAGAGCCTGGTTACCCTGGCTGGTGTGCCTCATGTGGTTGGGCGCTATCCCGTCCCAAAAGGTTGCCTGTTTGATTCCCTGTCGGGGCATGTGCTCTGGTTGTAGGCTCGATCCTCGGGAGGGGGAGTGCAGGAGGCAGCCAATCGGTGTTTCTCTCTCACATTGATGTTTCTCTTTCCTTCTCCCTCTCTCACTAAAAATCAATAAAAATATTTTTAAAAAGAAAAAAACCTTTTGTTCCTCTGAGTGGGAACAGGACTGCAGAAGCATTGGCTGTGTGAAGGCGCCCCTCGGGCCTGGGGCCCTGGTGGGGACTGAACATGAAGTGGGCTCTGGGGAGGGCACCTCACTTGTCCTGGTTTCCTGAGAAACATCCGCATTTGGTGCTGAGGGTGTAAAATAGCGCATAGAGAAATACTTACTGCCGTAGAGCTCATATTAAAAGATGCAGGACACACTTCCAAGATCCATCAAAATGAAGAAATGGTTAAATAAATTGCAACATAAGCAAATTGTGGAATATTGTACTGCAATAAATAAAACTAGAGAAAGAGATCTGCATGTACTAACAGATTTATATTAAGTGAAAAAGGGGAATCCCACTTATGCAAAAATTAAGCATGCTAACTCCTCCCCTCAAAAGCCCCAAGCCAAGTCCGAGAGTATCTATGTCTGTAAAGGCACAGAGGCGACCTGAAGAAATGGGAACAGTGGTGACTCCGGAAAGGGACGGGATTGGGTGGGGCTGTGGGAGATTGTATTCTCCAACGGTGGCCCCACCCCACCAGTATATCTCCCATCCCATCCTGTGTGCTCCTCTCACAACACAAAAGTGTCACTCTGTGTCCAGAAAGACAAGATCCCTCTTCCTGAACCGGATGGATTTGCCTCAACCAATAGGATGCAAAGGAGTGATGCTTGGAGATAGATGGTCAATGCTAGGTCATAAAAGACAATATGGCTTTCTCTTTGTTCTCTCTCTCTCTCTCTCTCTCTCTCTCTCTCTCTCTCTCTCTCTTCCCCCCCCCCCTCTTTTGAACTCAGCTGCCATGCTGTGAGGAAGCCCAAGCTCCATGGAGAGGCCATGGATGTGTTCCAGCCAACAGCTTCAGCAGAAGCCCTGGTAAGCCACCAGAGGTGTGAGTGGAGGAGCGGAACCTTCAGAAAACCCATCTTCCAGACTTTGAGTCTACCAGCTGGGGCCACAGGCAACTTAGAGCAGAGAGCAGCCATCCCTGTCAAATGCAGGACCCTCAGGAACTGTGAGCAGAGTAGCCTCAGGAACTGTGAGCAGAGTAGAAAGTATTTCCCACGCTAGGTTTGGGGCAATTTGTTTTGCAGCCACAGTAGTTGGGTGGACTGTGATGGTCCTTGCCATGTTTAATGTTCTAGGGAGGCCGCTCATGGGCCGGCATCTGACAGTAGTGAGCCTCCTGCCCCTGAGCACTGTGGGTCCCCCCACACCCAGGTACTTATTTGTTCAGTCCCACATGCATGCACAGCACTTACACAATTGCTAGCCTGCACCCCGTGGGAAACCAATTTACAGCGCTTACATACAGTTACGTTTATGTTAGTCTTACCTTTTCCAGTCAAAATCCCCCTCCCCAGTCCCCGGGTCAGCCCTCTTCCCCAGACTCCACCTAAGTCCTCTCCAGTCCTCTCAGCAGCCCTGCCAGGTCCGTAGCCCCACTGCACAGAGGGGGCTGGGCTCTGGGTTAGGGGAGGGTCAGTGGGAAGGATGGGTGGGTCCTTACACTGCCCAGAGGCCGGGCTGCTTCTCCAGGCTGTGTTATGCTGTCTCTGGGTGGCTTAGAGCAAAGCCCCCCCAAGCTGGGCAATGTCCTTCACCCTCAGGTGGCCTCTGGGCTGCTCTGGCCAGGGCCACAGGAAGACCCTCTGTCTTGGCCCCTCCTCCTGCTCCAGGCAAGCGTTTAGCGGAGGCCACCCTTACAGGGGCCTGCCCCAGGGGGTGGGGGAGGATGTCTGGCCCATGC